GCAGGAGAGCGTGTAAGGGGATGGTTTCCAAGGCGATGTGTGGAGAAGTGCCATTATGACACAGCTGTCAGTGATAGTGCCGGCGATAAGAAAGTAAATTAATATATTTTAGCAGACATTATGTGGAGCAGTGGGGTTAAACTGAACAAAAGTTTTCATCCATGCACAACTGAAGATGTCATGCCCGATGCTGCAGGCTCACAATCAACAGTTTCATAGCTGGATTAAAAGGTCACACATTTCAATACCGACTTGACGTTTAAGTCTTACTGAGCACTTTGCTGTGAAATAATGTGTTGAACAGAACTTGAGGAGTTCAGTTTGACTCCTTTGACCAAAAGTGAAACCCAGCAACCTAGTCTTAATGTCCAAGAAATGCCACCAGGCTTTTGTGTGACGTTTACTTGAATCTTTTGTTTTTACTTGTGTTGGTGTCCTTTTTTCTAATTACTGTATGCAATGCCTCTGCCCAGCTAACCCCAGGGCTTCGTCATGCAACTCTTTATACAGTGTGAAGAAAATACTAGGATTCTTTTGATTATTTTTGTAAAAACCAATTATTGGCCTCAAAGTATAAATTAAAAAATTAAAAAAGGTCTTCTCCAAATGTTGTTGTTGTTGTTGTTTGCTTTAGTCTTTGTGAATACTTTCAATTATTGTTTTAATATATAACTACTTGAGTGCCTTTGGCATAATGTAAAAATGATCACCATGATGGGATTACCTCAGCATTGCACTATTTGGTAAGTCATTTGCAAAAAATAAAGGGCATGTAAATTTTTTTGTGAAATTTACATGTATAGAGGCTTCAGATATTCAAACCCTTTCATATTTTGCACTCATAACATTTTTAATTGGAAAATTTCAAAGTTTAAATCTCATTTACAAAAGTAAGTGAACCAACACACATCAAATAAAACAGCCCCAAGACCCAGTGGTCAACATTTTATATTAGAAGCATTATTCTAAGATTTGAATTAGTACACCGCCTTGTATATTTTTAGAATACTTTTAGAACTATTGCTATGAAAAGGTCTTGGATGTTATAAAATATATGAATTAATAAATATATAAAGGTAAAATATTTTTAAAATAATGTATAGGTGCTTTTTTGTAAAATGTCTCTAGATATAAACTAAATTTAGATATTCTGGTTTTTGTGGAAATACTGCAGCCATAAAAACTCTATATGAGAAAACACTCTCTTGTATAAGCTAAGCTGATAAGCATATTTATTTAATGTCTAAATCTTATGCTTTTATCCGTGTTTGTGTAACTATGTTGTAAATCCAGTGTGGTCAATAAAAAAAAAAGACTGTCCGCAATCTTACCTGGCTGCCGCTCTATTGTAGTGAATGACTTGACTACGTGTCCCAAACTTCACTGCAGTTTCCGTAACCAATCACGGTGCAGGTAACGTCATGTGACCATCCAGCACCAGCTCAGTCAGAGTACTAGCGGGTGCGTAGCTATTCTGGAGTAGACAGCTGCTTGTTGAAGGTTGTCAGGACAGTTATCCGTTCAGTAGATATGCCTACTGTTCTACTCCTGAATTACACAGTTCATACGTTATTCACATCGTTTTAGATTTGCTTGACACAGGTAAGCTCATGCTAAATTGCCAGTATACCTAAAGTTACACATACTAGATTGTCAGTTCAGTGTGACTTACTATCGTTCTGTGTATGGGCCGCACCAAATGTTGTTTATGGCGAAATACAGACAGTTCCGTTACTGTTGGGTAACAAGTCAGGGCCATCATCCTTACTTCAGGATTTTAATTTTGAATCTCGTAGGATCACTTTGCAAAGGGTTTTTATTGCAACGTGTAAAAGGCAATGTGATGGTACTACTAGCTAGCTAGCTAGCTACGACTTTGAGTACATAGATAAGCTGACCTCAGCTCTGTCAGCTGCTTCTGCAAAAAACTGACATACTTTTGTATCATATGGCTGTCAAACACCGTGTTGTCCTCTTGAAAGCAGCTAACTAGCGAGAGGAAGTCACGAACTTTCAGCTCTAGTCGCTTATTGTATTACATAGTTATGCTCAAAGCACTTGTTATGTGATTGGTCAGTGTCTGAAAACGCCACTAATGGTATGGTCCCGTGTGGGCGGGATGAGGAATCGTGTAACAATTAGAAGAAGTTTCCCAACACTCTTTACAGTAGATTACCCGGTGACTCCAATTTAACAGACATTTATATGCCACCTCTTAGAAATTACATTCCAGTCATGAATGGTAACGCGCACTGACACTGTATCAGAGGGTTAAAATCTTGTAAAGTCATAGTGTTTACTTGTTACATTGTAACGAATGAGTTGCAACATCAGCAGGAGGGAGCAATTTTAAATAAGCTAGTAAATGATTCCACAGAGCAACCACCAACTGTGCAACTGTAAACATGTGGTAAATATAACGGGCCTACAGAGACACTGCAAGTGTGTTTGTGTGTTTTTATTATAGGCATTCTACATTTAACCTGACTGTAACACGACATATATATTTGCAGGGAAATCGTGTTACAGTCAGGTTAAATGTAGAATGCCTATAATAAAGCATATCTTATAATCTACCAGTTAGGCTAAAAAGAAAAATAGAATGGACACTTCATGTGGATGGCAAAGTAAGAATTTCATTGTACAGGGAAACGCGTTTCCTAACTCTGCATATGACAAATAAACACTTTGACCTTTGACCTTATATGTTTGACTGTGTCCTTCTCTACCATCCCCTTCCAGGGTTTTCCCATCCCCTGGCTGTAATCTCAGACACTGTAAAATCGGTGGATTCCCAGTGATATCAGCCAGTAACATGTCCATGTTCAGCACCGGCATCCTTGTGCTGACATCTCCTCTCCACACCCTCCCTTTGCGTATCACACCAGTCCTCAGCTCAGCTGCTCAACTTGTAGAGCGCACGCTGTACGTACATCTCCATCCCGGGCTGAACCTGGGAAGTGGGAGCCAGCCTCGGCCAGTTTCCATACCACCAGTAATGGACATGTCTACGCTCATTACCCGGCTTTATAGCAACGCAGCAGATATATGTGGACACCTGGATGTTCGTGTTTTACTGACCAATGTACGGGCTCAGTCGGGTGCCACGG